TCTTCACGAAGTATTTTCAGAGCTGCCCAAATACTAGTACCTTCTCTCTTTGCATTTAACTACTTTGTTATATATACCCACATATTTGTATATGTTATGTATGCATGTATATTTGTATATATTGTGTGTATATACATATATATGTATTATGTATATGTTTCTATATATTTGTATTTATTCACTTTATATCTATCTATGTGTTTCATATGTCCTTGTTATATTTCCCAATAGATTCCCAATGAAAACTCATTGCAAGTAGGGATTGCTTTCTTCTTTGTACTTCTCTCCCCAGTGCATAGCATAGTACCTAGCATGTAGTATGTATATTTAATAAGTACTTGTTTGTATGGAAGTGATTATTGATAAATAAAAATAAATTAATAAAAAATAAATTTAAAAAAATACTTGATTGGTTGCACATAAATTTCAAACAATGGAAAATTCCTTTAAATGCTACAGATGCTTCATTTTGGTCTTTTAAATTGTTGAAGTGCTTTGATGGTCAGAACCTAGTAGAGTTAAGTGATCAGTTGAAAACCATGTTGGATTACTCATAATGGCAGACTAACATGAAAAGTCATAGAGTAACCAGCAACCTGGTATAATATGCAGAAGGTCTACTGATTCTGGAGTTAGGAAAACTTAGGTTGAGTCCTGTCGCTGCGGAAAACTGAATACTAGCTGTGGAATCATGGACAATCCTTAACTGTTCAGTATCTAAGGCGACTCTTTAAAACTGTCTGTGTCTATCTGTCTTGGTGTGTATGTGTGTATATCGATATCTCTACATTGAGAGAAAGAGAGGGAGGGAGGGAGATGGAGAGAGGAAGTGGGAGAGGGAGAGAGAGAATTAGTGGAGGGAGCTTTTATACCACGAGTTTGCCTCATACTGATGAAATCACAAGTCTCAACCAAGAAAACCAAAAACAAACCATCATTTAGGAAAGACCCTGACATGATTATGCTGGTTACAAATCTGTAAATTGAGAGTGGAGTGTAGGGAGCAGGATGGGGAAGATGTACACAAAAAGTGTTCTAACAGATTTAGGGAGGAAGCAATGAGCTTGAGCTTATTTTAAGCAATAACAAATTGGTTTCATATCTAGCTTTGATCTCTGTACCCAAGCAACCACAGTTGTTTCTGTGCCCTGCTACAGTAGTACTGTTGGTGGAAGTCTGACTCATTCACCCTTTTTTATCATACAAGTTTCTGCACTGCAGGGCATGTTATAAGAAGTATTTTCTGGCTATAGCATGTTAATTATGGGTTCACCCCTTATACTTTTGGGATCTTAGACATAAGATAACTTTGGGGACTCTTCAGTGTGTAGTTCTTAGTTCTGCCTATTAGATTATCCAACTGTGGATCAGATTTCACGTGAGAATCTGTACAAGCCTGTAGAAAAGGAGAAGGAAGAGAAAAAACACAGTAGGGGATCCTGGGCTTTCCAGCTAGTGTATTCACCTTTGTTCAGTTTGCAACTTAACTTTGCTGCAGAGGTTCTCAATTACGTTGAACTCTGAGCATGCATATGTTCTATGTTTCTCCTCCCCAACCCACTGCACCCCTTCCCCCAAATCTAGGAGTGACCTGTTGGCCAGTATATTGCTACTGTGGTATCATAAAACTGGAGATTAAGAAATTTAAGCTTCTTTAAATAATTGATTTCAGTGTGACTACATTTTATTAAAAAATACATTTTAAAGTTTTTGAAATAAGGTCCTATGCTGAAAAAACTTTCTCTGATTGCCCAGGCTGTCATTTTATTTCTATGTGCAATTCATTAAAATAGCTCTAATCCTTCAAGCTGCCCCTTAGTTTCTATTAAGATGTATTGCTTGAATCTTTGTGTAAATACATTGATTATTTTATAGACCCATTTGTTAATCCTGTGCATCTGGTGTTCAAGATTCATTGAGCTTGATAAAAAATGAGATGAAAGAGGAGACAAGAATTCAGGGACCTGTTTAGTCTCCTTGAAGGATGCAATGTCTTTTCACCAGCTTTCTACCAATGGAGGGCATAAATATTATGGCTCTGGTTTTAGGTATGAGATTTAACAGCGACATCTGCCCCCTGCTGATTTCAGGATACAATTAGCTAATTAAAAAAACAAAAACAAACCAACAACTGTTTTTACCTTGGTGTTAGAAGAAGAGCTGTAAAGTGCAGGCCTGGAATTGAGTTAATTTGCATGTTGACTGTAAATGTAAATTTAACTCTGTGATTAATTTTTTTCTTGGTGAGTGGGAGAATCTGGCATTGTTTATACTGATGATGTTTCCTTATTATGGTTTGGAACATTTAAATCAGTTGTAATGATTCCATATGGAATCATAATCCACAGCTTTCTTCCCATTTGGATCAGTGAGGATAATTATTTGTTTACATGTGATTAGAACATTTTTTTTTCAGAGGGGGGAGGTAAAAATAGCACAACTCATTTGTGGTACACCTTTGGAGAATGATAGAGAAAAAAAAATTTGCTTGCTTAACATGCTTTAAAAAATAATAATATTGGAAATCTCCTGGCCAGCTAATTATTATGCTTCAGGGAGGGGTGTTTCCTATCAAATTCAAGAGAGAATTTTCAAATTTAGTTAAATTTGTAATTAACAAAGATTAATCTGTGACAACATGAAGGATGGATTGGAGAGAAGAGAGTGATGGCGCATGGGGTGTAGTGTGTGGGAGGTCCTTGCTGTAGTTCAGGTGGGTGAACAGATGGGCCTGGACTAGGGCAGGGGGAATGAAGATGGAGATTCAGGAAACATATATAAAAGATAGTGGAGGATGAAAGGAGAGGACTTGAGAAGTTGTAGGGTATGCAAGGTGAGGGATAGGGAAGAATAATTAAGATAGCACCAAGATTTCAGATACCACAGACTGGATGAATGAGTGAAATGAGCAAATTGTTGGGGGAAAACAGTAAGCTTAGCAGCAGCTGGGTGGCACAGTGGATAGAGCATCAGCCCTGGAGTCAGGGGGACCTGAGTCAAATCCAGCCTCAGACACATAACACTAGCTGTGTGACTCTGGGCAAGTCACTTAACCCTACACCTCACCAAAAAAAAACCCAAAACAAAGCAAAACGAACAAACAAACAAAAAAACTGACAACAGTAAACTTGGTTTTGGATACCAGAAGGACATCTAAAGGAAATATCCCATAAGTAACCTATGAGTAACTGTAAGTATCATATAAGTAACTGGATATGCAGATCTGGAAAGGTTGAGATAAGAGCTACTGTCTTAGAATTTCCTCTGTTTAAGTTGGGAGTGACTGAGGAAAGGAAAGGAGGTGGTGAGGGATGGTGGTTAGGGAAGGACCTGAGAAAAGGGAGAGCCAGCAGAAATAAGAAAGAGGGACAATTAGTCAACAAGCACTTTTTAAATGACTGTGCTAAAGTTCTGGGACTACAAAGTGCAAAAACCACAATGAGCTAATGAGAAAGAAAAGTTCAATTGGTTCAGTTAGTTCTATTGCAAGAGATCTAATGAGGTCCTAAATATGATTTTTTTATATTAAAGCCTTAGGATATTTTCTAGGATAGATAAAAACCTAAGGACTATTTCCTTACATCTTTCAAAAGAAGGCGGGGGAAAAGGGAAAAGAAAAAACATGTTGGCAAGTCAGTAATTAGAGGGGATTATTTGCTTGCAGTTTGCCATTTATGACATTTCATTTCTGTAAGGTGGTTATCCTTGTGGTTATTGCAGTGATTGCTGACAATTCAAGTGGATATGATTGATATATGTCTTAAAGTAATATAGCTGTTATCCTTGTGGAGGAAAGAAAAGTTAATATTCTATATTTTACTAACAGGATGCTCCTTTCACATCCTCCTTCTGTCAAGTAGAGATGACCAAGTAGTAACTGATCACTGCTTGCAGTTCTTTGGGAGTTTTGTATCTGTTGTCGCTTTTTACTCTTATGAAAGGATTGTAAGGGCAGGGAGCACACACTGATGCTTGCCCTGACCTCCCTCAGTGTCCATGGAAATTTGTGCTGTCGGTCAGTGGGGGCATGATTCCTACTTACATTCTTTGATTGTATCCCCAGTGTCCACTGCAGGGCCTTGTGCCTAATAGGTGCTTAATGAGTGTTTATTGAATTTAATATGGCCAGTAGATTTCTCAGGAGGTAAGGGATGTAGAACTATGCCCATTTTTCAAAATCCCAGCCCAAATCTTCCCCTTTTAAATGGGGCTTGTTGAATTGAGCAGGAAAAAATCGACCTTCAGATTACTTTAAGGTGCATGCCTGAGGATAGATTTATCTCTTTTGAGCACTAGAACAAGATTACTATGTAAGATTACCAGTTTTTTTTTTCCTGGGCTTCCAGAACATCACTGGACAGACTCTTTGGTGATTTCCAGAGAACTCAGCAGGGATGCATCTTAGATGAGTCAGGGCAGAGCTTCTCAGGCAAAGGTGATTTCAAGGTTGGAAGGAACTCTGGAATTCCCTGTGTTATTTTAGTGATATGTGATTGGGGAAGAGCACTGCTGATCTGAGACATGACTTCTATTATGATAAGAAGGATAGAATTTTCAAATGTTAAGGTGTAATTGAATTAGTGGTGTTTATGGACAAAATTACCCTTTACTCCCCCACTCTTCTATTGTTTCCCCTTTATCAACATTAAAAGTGGAATAGAAAATATCACATAATGAAATCACAAAGATGGCCCTATGAAACTATAACCTATGAAATTCTAATGAGAAGAGAAATGTCTCAATCCTGACATTTCATGGCTGTAAAATACACATGCATGGCTATAGGAGAATAAATTTAATTGCATATTTGTAACGTATACTCTTATTGGGAGGATATCAAATGTACTTTATATATGTTTATAACGTTTTAGATAGATAATGACTAAAGTACAGTTAAACACTCTCCCTCTCCCTTTTTTGGCCATTTTCCCATCACCTCCCATCCCACCTTCTCTTCTTCCTTTCTCCTGTTCATTTCCCCCCTTTCCATTCACTGTCAGGAAGGGCAGCCTCCGAAGAGCCATTTCAGCTCAGCCCGGCATCGGCAGAGACTAGTGGACACCTCAGCTCCAAAAGTGAGTAGGCATTTATGAGCCTATCTACATTGGGGAAGGGGGGAGGATTGCCATTATTTTAGTGGGTTGCCATGGTGTGTGTGTGTGTGTGTGTGTGTGTGTGTGTGTGTGTGTGTGTACTGAATTCTAATCCAAATTTTTTTGGGGGGTGTGAGAGGTCTCCTTATGAAAGGAAATTAAAACATAGTTGTGTTTATATGCTCTCTATTCATTAAGCACACCTGTATCCTTCCTATTGCACTCTTGGCTACTTGTCATTTGTCTTGACCTTCTCCTTGAAGTTGTGGAAGTTTCATTATGTTTTGGAGAGAGAGAAGAAACTAACTCTGAAATTTTCCAAGATTTATGCCCTTTAGCCACCCTATAACCTTGTTTTTCTTCCATAATTTGATAAGAAGGTATCATGGTACAGTGGAAAATGTACTTACTTTAGAGGCAGAGGACATAGGTTTGAATCCCCTCTGGTACTTATTACCTATATGTGACCTTGGGTAAGTTATTTAATGTTCCTGGGAGTCATTTTCCTTAATGGGTAAAATGAAGGGTTTGGACCAAAATGGCCTCTGAAGTCCCTGTCTGGTCTAGATTGATGATTTTACAGATCTATGATCTCATCAATAAGAATATTACTTCCATTAATATTAGAGCTGTCCATCTTTCATGACACATCCATTTTATTATTTTTTAAAAATCTCTTATGAATTTACCAATTGGCAAACAGAAACATTTTAACATACAAAGAACAAGAAAGAGGACCAAATGAAAAACTGAATCGTCACATATAGTTTTTAAAGTGCATGCTAAATTTAGCATTTATTAAATGCCAAATCTATTAAGTTATTAAATTTGTAATTTAGTATTTATTAAATTTGTTCTGTAGCTCCTTTATGTTTTCTATTTTCTTCTGTGCATTTGCAAATTTTTTTTTGATGCTTTTTGCATTTCTGTCACTAGTCTCTAAATAAATCTCCCTCCTCCCTCAAAAAAGTTTTAACTCATACCAAAAGTGTTTATAGCCAACCAAAACAAATCAGCACTTTGGCCAAGTCTGAAATGGTATATCTCATTTTGCACCTCCAGTCCATTACCTCTCCCTCTCGAGGTGGACAGCACGCTTTATCTTCAGTTCTCTGAAGTCACAATTATTCACTGCTTTGAACAGACTTCTTAAATTTCTCCAACTTGTTTTATTTTATAATATTGTGATCATTATGGAAATTGCTCCCATGGTTCAACACATTTCATTCTCCATGAGTTCATATAAGTCTTTCCATGTTTCTCTGAATTTTTTATTTCTTAGGGCACAGTAATATTCCATTACTTTCATATGTCATGGCCGTTCTCCAACTGATGGGCACCAATTTTGTTCCTAATTCTTTGTTACAATGAAAAGTGCTTCTATAAATATTCTTGTCCATATGGGTGCTTTCCCTCTGTCCTTGACCTCCTTTGGATTTGCAAATGAATTCCTTTCCATTTTCTCTATTTACTAGAGAACAGGATTCATTGTGACCTGAGTCCTTCTGGATTTCCTCTCTCTACCTTTCATTCTCTTCCTATTCCCTTCAGCTTAATTTCTGAAGTGATAAAATGCCTTATTATTAAAGGGATAACATAGTAGGGCATTTTGGCATGAATCTCAATGCCAGCAGTACATTTGGGGTGCAAAGTGCATTGTTTTCTCTTTCCTTTATTTTGTTGTTATAAAGAGGGAAAGACCCTGGATCAGGCATAAGAGGACCTGGCTTTGAATTCTGTTACTGCCTCTTATGATGGATGTGCACATACCTCTCTAGGCCTCAGTTTTCCTATCTATTAAATCAGCGAGTTGGGCAAGGTGATCTCTAACGTCCCTTCCAGAGCTCAGTCAGTGATCTTGCAGTCATTCTATCTTCATATTGTATATCATTCAGTCTCTTTCTCCCATCAGTTCTTTGTATTACAGTACAAATTAACTAGGGCAGCTAGGTGGTGAAGTAGAGTGCTAGGCCTGGAATCGGGACGACTCATCTTCCAGGGTTCAAATCCAACCTCAGACACTTACTAGATGTGTGACTCTGGGGAAGTCATTTAACCCTGTTTGCCTCAGTTTCCTCATCTGTAAAATGAACTGGAGAAGGAAATGGCAAACTTCACCAGTAACTTTGCCAAGAAAATCTCAAATGGGGTCATGAAGAGTTGAATGTGACTGAAAGCTACTGAACAACACGAACAAATTACTAATTTCTCCAATTGATGCTGAGGGTATTTTTGGACAGAATTGTGACTTTTCCTCTTGGATGAACTTTAACAACCGTTTGCTCTTAGTGTTACATGAATAGATTCCATAGTATCACCAAATAGGTTTAAAAGGTCAGCAGCTTTTCTGGGGGAAAATATAGCTCAGTTGCTGTAGGTAGTGTGGATTTGACTGTGGGCCAGGAAGTCTTTCCTAACATTTAAGAGGATGATCTGAAAGATGATAGTTACTATATGGATGTAGAATTTAGACAATAGCAAATGGAAATGCTAGTGTATGGTCAGTGACCTTTTGCTGCAAGCCACTTGGCTAAGAATCCACACTGAATCATTTTCAGTTTCATTACCTAGTAGTCTAAAAACAGTATAGCAAAATCATCGCTGGCCCATGATATTGGGTGTCCTTTTTTTCAGTGCTGGGAGATGAAACTAACAATTTATGATAAAATGGCCTGCTCGATATTTTAAGTATACTGATTTTGTTACCTATCTAAATTTATAACTTGGGGGAAAGAATGGGATGATAGAAAATTTTCTTGTGCCATTAAATATTTGTTCCTTGACTTCAGGGCTTATTATAAATATTCATTCCTTCAGGCCCTCCTGGCAGATGAAAAGAAGGAAACAACCCTTGCCTTCATGGAGTTTAATCTAGCTGGAGAAGTGTCATGTATACTAGTAACTAAAATGGGGCATAGAATGTGAAATTGCAATGGGATAGTTATACGATGCAATAGAAATTCCAAAAGCCAAAGAAATTATGTATAGCTGGAGAGATCAGGGAAGACTTCATGTGCAAAATGGTATTAATGAATTACATTATTTCCATACTCCCAAATTAATCTCTTTACTTGCAAACCATAAGTGATCTTCCGTCACTGTATTTTGTGACAATCAATTTCTTTTCAATGTGTTTATTAACGGATTTTTTACTATCATCATTACCTATGAATATCTCCCTCTTATAGCGGACTGTGTTGTTTAAGTGTCTGTTGAGGGGCAAGGCGGGTAAGGTAGGGAGGGAAGGGAAGCTAATAGTTATTTTGTTCTTTTTTAAGATTGGGTCTCCCTATCTTGCCTGATTGGGAGCATGGTGGCCACTCACAGGCTCCCCTTACTTCTGGAGAGCTCACCATATTGGTGCTAGACTTAGTAGGGTCACCAGGTTGTATTAAACACCATGACAGCTTAGAGCTCCCAAACTCAAGGCATCTCCCCGCCTCAGTTTCTCCAGTAATAGGACTTATAGGCATACAGTTAAGCAAAACCTCATAATAGAGTGACTTCAAATGACAAAGTGTGTCCTGTTGCATATCTGTAGTTTACTACCTCTCTGCCGAAAGGATATTGGTGTGTTCCAGGATCAGCCTTTTGGAGCAACCATTTGCCATTGCATTTGATCCAACTTAGGATGTCTTTTCCTATTTTGTTCATTTACATCATTGTAGTCATTGCACATATCGTTCTGCTTTAGCCAATCTTTACCACCTAAAAATATTTCTTAAGAAGCATATACCCCACAAGTTAGCAATCCTTGGATCTTGACACCCAAATGAGAAGTATGGAAAAGTGTAGCTATTTTTTTTTAAGAGTTTGGTAACTTTGTGTGTTTTGAGTCCTGGAAAACAACCTTTTAAATCTGTTTTATTTGAATAAGAGTGAAGGGTTAGAAAGAAATCAAAGGCAGGTAATGTAGCTCAGATTTGGCTGAGCTTGTCCACTGGGAAATTGCACAATATCTGTTACTATACGACTGAGAAGCTTTAAGAGAGTATACAAAGGAGACTCTCCCCAGTGAAAACTGCTGTATACAGCACAAGAACTGAGAATCAAGAAGAATGTGCTGCAGGAATAACAATTCAAAGGGAAAAACCCTTATTTGTGAAGCTGGTGAAGGCTTCTCTTAAATAAAAATCAATTGGATACAGGCACACAGGGATGGGGGCAGGAGGAGTGAAGATGGGAGAAGGCAGAAGGACAGAAAAAACCATGGGAAAGTGTCCAGAGGATTAGGATCCAAATCTCCTGGTATCTCTGCACATTTTGATGATAAAGATTTATTCTAGATGAGCTGTCTACATAAATTGGAAGGTTCATCAGTATTGAATTTCTGATAGTGCAAAAAACTATTAGCTGGCACAGGGGCTAATGGCAAGTTAAATCTCAGAAGCAGAGAAGAAAGTATTATAACTCAAGACTCTTGGTTTGTTTAAGAAATAAAAGACATACACAAAACACAGCAAAGCTGCAGCTCCCAGGAGCCTGTCTCTGCTTCCAAGCTGTGTGCTTCCCCAGTCAGTTGTGGGGCTTGAAACGCCTTTGTAATCTCATCACTTTCTGTGACTTTGTCTAATGAAGGTGGGCTTATGAAGCCTAGGCTGCCTTGTTGGTGAAATCAGCCCTGGAGCCATCTCAGAGCAGATGTTCTACTTTTCAGAGTATTCTAAACCTTTTAGGATTGATCCTTTTAAAACTTTTTTTTTAACCTAACCTAAGAATAAATAAATTCTGATGTCTTTGAGATCCTGAAGCTCACTGTTCAGAGAGTGAACAAAGCAGCTTGGGTAGCTCATTGGTCCCTGAGCAAAATGCGTGGCCGCTACTTAGAACATATGCAATAAAGCAAACAAAAATTAGTTTTCAGCTATATAAATCACAAATGTTGTTTCTGTCCATATTCTTATGGTAGAAATGTAGATTGATTTATAAAGCACTGAAGGGTTGGGCTTTGAAATATATACATTCCATAGCTTCATTATGCA